GTGTGTGTGTGTGTGTGTGTGTAACTCATGCACCTCTTCCGTACTCCAGTTTTCACGGAGTAGGTGTGTGGATGGATGAAGAAAGGAAACTGATCCTTTGCTACGATGATTCGGTATTTTCATCATTCACGTCGAAGGCGTGCTTGGGAACATATCTACTTGAATCTAATGAGAGTGAAATGATGACACCAACAATAAAGTTCAATGTCACTTCGGTATACCTTCGGCAGGCTATCTGGTGGGTAGATAGGAAGGAGACAGGATTTCTTGACGGCATAGTCAATGATCAGAAGTCCTTATCTGACGTATCTTGCCACTATTGAGACCAACCACTGAAAAATATTTTTCAGAACAAAAGCACACCTTTGGACCGTCGTCTCGTATTATGCTGACTTCGTGCCCATTGTCCGATCTCAATCGAATCCGTTCGGGAGGAACATTGGTCACAGAGCATTATACATATCACTAAGGATGTTGCAAACTGCTTCGCAAGAGAAATAGGACAAGTAGCCGTAAGACGGCGGAAACAAAACAATGTTCGACGAGGGATACATTGGTTTGAACTGTCCAAATGTGTTAGTATACTACCCGGAATTCCGACGACGGTACTCAATAAATCTCGATTATTGGTTGTATTTGCGTTGTTTTTTTTTATTTTTCAAAATTGAAACTCCAAAGTTATCGCAGCCTGTACTTGCCTTTCATAACGTCCCAGTTATCTATAATTTTCCTTTTTAACAGGATCGCCTTGTTTTCACTCTATGCTGTGTCCCACTCTACCTATCCCGTGTGCTTATTATTATTATTGTGGCGTTGGTGCCATGTTTGTCCGTAAGCCGGTGTTATACTTGAAGATATATATATTTCATAATAAGTAGTATATGAATGACTGGACAATATTCCCTTGGAAGCACACGACCGGTTTCGCCATCCTTTCCACTCGTCAGGCATGCGTATCCGGTAATCGTGGGTCAGTTAATTCATATACTTACACTCAGGAAGTGTATTTTCGTCACAATAACCTTTTTTGCAACACCGAGTGTTTTTTGGATACACAACTCTTTGAGAGTCAGTCCTTTTAAAGATTTAATACTATGGTTCGATGTTTTGTATGCGGGTTAGGTACTACCAACTGCACCCAACGTGACCTGAGCGTCTTTATAGAATATTTCATTATATGCATATATATATATGCATATATATACATAAAATCTTGTAATCATGACCACAGTCGACAGTATAACAGTATGGAAACATGTGCAATTTTAGAGAATAGGGCTAAATTGCGCACGCCACGACCGGATGGAATCAGTATACCCACCAGTACGTATACGCAGGCAATGTGGTTGCAGTTCGTACCCACCTGATTCGATTTGCCTGTCTGTCACACACACTCGTATGACTGATGTCGTTCTTCAAATGATTGATCGTGTCCGGGGTTCGCCATACTGCGGATACAGATGGAACAAGAAGGGTGTTTGTTCAAAAGAACAGAGTGATCCTGTAATAATTCAGACATGTTTGTCTACTTATGTGGGTTTCTGTAGTGATATATAACATTTGCATTTTTTCCACAATCAAGTCCACGGTGCAGGAAAAATATCAGATTACTTAATTGCATGCACCTTCATGAAAATCAAATTGAGCGGTACCTCATACATCTCTTTTATGATTCATTACTGTTGCAGTACAATGGAAGCTGAACAGTCTGATCACCTGTTTTATTTCATCACTCTGAAACTGTTGATTCGACGGAGACATGAGCAAACTATTGACGATACGCTTTACCGCATCCGCTGTTCCAGTTCATGCTGGGATCTAACGAATTCAAACGGGCTGTCTTATGCATACACCTGATCGGTGAATACAGGACATCAACCGGAAGAAATGTGACCTTTTTATAAACCAAATCTATAACATAGTATTGTAAAACAACAAGTAAATTCATTGCTTTAATATTGTTAGAAGTGTTCATGGGAATTGTTAACCTAATCCCTAGAACTTGGACTGGAAAATAATCTGATGCTCTGGTAGGATAGCCTTGATTTTCAGCCGGACAATACCGACGCTGCCTGCTACCAACGTTGGGTGGTGATAAAATGATTCGAATCTCTAATTAGATGACCCAAAGCACACCGGGGAAGGAAGCTTAAACCCCGAGACCACCCCCCCCCACCCCCACCCCCATTGGTTTAGATAAAATTCGGTTGACATCGGTAGTATTTTTTTTAGTGGAATAAAATAATTACCGGTTATTCATATAGATTGATGAATTTCGATATTCTTGTAACCAATATTGCTTCCTCAGAGAAAAAGGAAATTAGTCACAATTGAATAGAGTTCATTGTCTGTGACACCTCGTCATTGGATATGCTCTGTTCTGCTCGATTGTTCCACCCTCAGCCAAGTTTATTGCTTTACGACTGGACGGAGATGAGGCTGTAATGAATCGACCGGAACCGCGGAATGTGAAATGTTTGCACAATTATGAAGGAAATCAAACAATACAGACCAAATGGGCCATTCTGTACAGCACCACGGATACAGTTTCAGTTGCCGATTCCACACTAATCGTGCAACCGAGCAACTCGTTCGGATTTGTTCTGGCTCGATGTCATTTGTTATACGAAAAAGAAATGCTTTTGTTTATGAATTATATACAAATTGTGTTTCGTGAGTGAGACAAACACAGTTATTATCCTTTTTTTATTTTATTTTATTTTATTTTATTTTTCCTCTCAACCCACTCCCACTCCCCTCCCCATTGAAATAAACGAATTGGCTATTGAGAGATGAAGAATTACAGCTACAGAAATTAGTTTGTATGGTATGTTAAATTTTCTCGACGGGTAGTTTAAAACGTTCGGGGACTCCTACGGAAGTCGAGAGTTCACGAGCACAATCGCCGCTATTTTACGATTTCACGGCATGATATTGCACGTAAAGAACGGTCACGGAAATAACTAGATGTTATTTATCGTGATTTTCAGTCAAAAGTAAATAGAAATTTTTGTAATTTTATTCCAAGCAAATATGAACTGTTATACAAATCTCAGTTTCACCGCTTGGAAGTGAAATTGCTGAAAATCTATAATTTTGCATATCAGGATGCTGGTGTTTCCTAATGGTTCATAAAGACATATACATGTATAGATGGCTTGTCAATCATCGATAGAAAGATGGGTCTCCTCATACGGGCAAATCCTCTGCATTGTCAATATTACTTTACTTCTTTTCATTATATACACCTGTACAATCAGCAATCATGGGGGGAGGGCGAGGTAAGGCCTTTTATGTTCTGATAGTGGACAGATGTAGGAGAACAAATTGTCGATTGCGATGCTGGAACTCGAACTCAACTGGAGGGTTGGTGTGATGATATTCTTACCATTTATTCACCATAACATATAGGCAAGGAATAATGTGGGCCGATAAGAGTCCGTCTACTGGATAGGAACTTCGAAAAATGTTTTTTTTTCTCAAGCTGGCCTGGTTTTCAATTGAACAAGTAGGATCGTTTAGAATTAAGTGAAAATGAAAAAAGCCATAAAACGGGAATGAAAATTCCCATTTTTGTTTCAGCTTTTTTCTTTTCGTTTCACTGAAATTCATTTATATTGGTATCCAGATATGTAAGTAAGCATAGTATACGCTGACTGAACTAAACGTGCGTGTGTACGTGTGCGTGAAAGTGTGATATTGTCCCGGTAACAATGTATCTGCTCTCGTGCTATGCGATGTGTAAATTGTGCAATCGAATACTTCATACTCTTCCATTTCACAGCCACAAATGAACAAATCCAATTAACCCTATTTCCCAAACGAACTTATTTGCATCCGGATGAAAGAGTAATGTTTTTTATCGGATTTCTCCCGTACTATATGCCTACTCTNCTCTGATACGACTACGTTTGTATGCGCACCTGGCCATCCGTTTCACTACATCCTGTTTCGGCACCTACACCCTACGCGGCTGGTTTCTGCATCCGCATCGTCGACTGGAAAGGTTTGTCGAGCGCAATTGCACATTACAATTACGCACATTCATGTTCTACTCGGCCGTACGGGCCAATGCAACATTCAGCCTCACTATTTACGGTGAGTGTGTGTGTGTGTGTGTGTGTGTGTGTGATTTTTCAGTCAAATGATCCAAATAGACCATTTCACGTCCCTATCTGTTTATCTTTTCCGAGGATTTCCAACCCCGGACAGTTGTACCGTTTTCTATGAGTTTGGACATAATGGTACTAGGTGATCAGCAAAAATGCACAATGCATGAGTTTCACTATAGTGGTCACCTTCAGGCACAGAAATAACCGAAAAACAACAATCTTTATTGAGATCACTAAGTGGGACATATAAGGGAGTCAATTAATGTTGATATCTGTTCTGGTTCAAGAAAACGTCCCTGGAAGGAACACGAACAGATAAATTGGTAGTTCATAATCTTTTACTCAGTAACCTAACTCAGGAGACGAAATTATTTATCCACTTTTTAAAACTTATATCGATCTAATCAAGATTTAGGTCAAAACTAGTCTGAATTGTGTTTAAACTTCTCAGGGCTGCCAAAAGTATAGGGACTCATTATTGTTTCAACTCACTTCCTTGCTGTTCTCTAATCAAGTAAGCGAATATGCTACCTCATTCTGCATCAGAAACCCATCGTCCATGTATTATTCTTTGATGTACTGCCACGGATAATGGATGTGGACTCTCTCTCTCAACCATATGACGTGATCAGGCTTAGGTGATACAGCTTATCAATTAGTTCTCGCAGTTCAGTAAATCTAAACAAACGACAACACTTTAGGCACAATCGTCTGAAACATTGCTCTTATAAAAGTGCTACCCCCTCCGCTTCCCACACACACACTATCGGGAACTTTTGTTTCATACCACTATCGATTTTTTATAGTAGAATAACATGTTGCAGTTGCTACCTTCTTTGATTCCCTTTTATTGAATAAATGAAAATACAAACAGTTAACAGGAATGGGGAAGCGGCCGTGCAAATTGTTTTCATGTGCTACAAGTAAATGGGGAACCCCAATCGGTCGTCTCAAGTGCTTGGCCACCGCCACTCTTATAAATACGATCAGGAATATCAAAAACAGATAGGGTATCGTCCAGCAAACGCAAAGTTTAACATTCTCATGCTCATGATTAAAAGCGATTATGAAATACGAGATGCACTACACTTGGTGTAACAAAAGCAGTTCAATTTACACTGGTATGGGTGTGTTGTTTGTTCCTTGTATTTCACAGCAGTTGAATTCCCTGAATGTTGCACTCTCACATAGGAGCTTTGGGTTCAACAGAGGCGTATAACGATCACCCGTCACACAGCAGGGTCTGACCGTATCTTATCGATTGGTGGTGGATAGACACACAAGTTAGACAGCCGTCTCCGGTTCTGTTCTGCGACCAGTGCCTACACCTTTTCCAACCAGGCTTTAGCCAAAACCCCGCACTCCTTTGGACTTGATCCACATTCCTTTAGGCGAACCCCGAAATGCTTTATCCGCGACCCGTAGTCGACGCACAAACTTTAGTCATGCCGCAGTAGGCGAACCAAATCAAAAAAGTATCGGAATATTCTGCAGTCAGCAGATGTTGAAAAAAATTATTTTCCACAAATGTTTATGTTACAAAGCTTAAGATTAAGAAATCAGGTGTGGAGTCGCACGCTACATCACATGTTGACTAGAGAAGGTTTTGCCGAGGTGTCTGTATCATGAACTCATTTGGCACCGTCATATAACATCAGTGTTTCCGTATAACATGCAATACTCCAATAAGTAAAAACCGTACATTAGTTTTGTGGTCACAAGCCCTGAAATAAATCAAAAAGGGATACCATAAAAACGTAAATGCTTGCCATCCCCGATCTCCGCTTAAAGTAAGCGGCCCAGCACAGTATGAACTGGTACACACACTGTCTGGAGTTCATCATGTGGGACGGTGATCTTTGATATTGTGCCCAAAACACTTCAAGTGAACCCATTATTTCTGCAATTTCTTGCGAACGCGTGCAAATCAGATTGTTAAATTGGGTGGTCTTGTGCATTTTCCCACTACCATATTGGGCTTTTCTATGGATTTTATTTGTGACTTAGAAAAATCGATTTTATCCCAAACAATGTGCCTGTGCAATACCAAATGCTTTTAGTTTACTTTCCGAGCAACATCGGAAAAGTGTTCGCCATGGCTCAACTGTTAGGCTGAATAAATCACACGCATCGTCTGTTTCGAAAACGAGATTTCGTGTTATGTCATTGAGCAGATTTCATATCGTGTACCGTTTGTGAACGAAACCCACGTAACCAATTTACAAATTCGTACCTTTTACTCAGAAAAAGTAAAGGAGATCAGGGGATCGGCTATGCGATACAAAAATTAGATCCAACAATGGGAGGCGTCGTAAGTGCATTTGAATGAGTAAACAAATTTGGATAGTAATGTTATTTGGCAGGTTCAGGCCTTAGTTTTTCTAATTGTAAAACATTCTCTAACCTTGAGGGGATTCGGACCCATACGTGGAATGAATTCGCATGTACGGGCATACGTTATTGTAATGCGGTCATAGACCTCTCAACTAGTCTCACCTGCCCGTCACACAATCGTGTGCAGAACGATCAGTTGATTGATTGATCTTCGGGAATCCATTATCAGATATACTATATATAGCCTTGCTCCGGTATTATGAACATATGCAGTTGGGATGAGAGAGAGACAAGAAGATTGCCTAGCCGGCTAGCACGAACTAGAATCGATACATTGGTGGTCACCCCAATTCAGCAGCATACTGGGCACCACCGAAGCCGATCATCCTCACAGAACTATTCGTAATTCAACCAGACCGTATTTCAAATCAAGATGTTCGGGGTTGATTGTATTGTTGGAATAGCTCCCGCAGTCGGTTCACCGAATGTCTAATGAAAGCCAACATGCGATAACCTATTATGTACAAGTTAGAACGCAAACGAGGAAAGGATTTTATCTCCTAAATCCTCAAAAACGAGTTCATTTTTACGCGGATCGCGTCTTCGGTGCATGTACTTAAATGGCCACTCTAATCATCATTAATTAGATGTATTGTGTTCTGCAGATTATTTGCATCGAACGGAAACCATTGAGTTAGGTCTTAGTTTGCTTACCGGAGTATCGCATGTCAAACAAATCGGAACGAACTTTGGTGCATGAATCTCTTATTGTGCGTGAACAGCCAGGAACTGATCGGGTGTGAACTTTGGTGGTTAGGTTCAATATGAGCATCAATGGTTTACATTTGGAATGGGATAGCATAGAATGCGAGTAATGAAAAATCTCGACTACACTTTCTACACTATATATCAACGCACTTCATTCAAGTTTATCGTTCGAGGAGTAATTCAAAGTCGATGGCCACTTCGTCCACCTAATTCCTAGCCTTCAATCTTTCGCGCACGAGACGGTCATAAAATCAGTACGGAGTAACTTTATTGTCCGTTATTCTTGCACCGATCAGTTCAACTTCTTGATCTGCTCTAACTGTTGACGTCCTGCTCGATAGCACACCCATCCTATCAGGGTCATTTTTGCTTCACTATTCCAAGCCTCGGGGATGAGATTGCCGGTTAATTTAAGTGAAATAGCCGACCATCGTGACTATGGGGTTTATCTCTCCTACTGTTCTATAGTTACAGTGGTACGTGATTAACATACCCATTGTGATTCATGTTCGATTGAATTTGCACAATCAAAATGTGGGCCTGTCAGGAGGAAATCCCCACTCATTTCATCAATCCGGAATCGCTCGTCTGGTACTCCCTCCCATCCCCGAGAGGCCAACCCTGCTAGCACGAAACAGATAAATTACCACCACAAGCCAATCTCGATTATCCATTATAGTCGAACGCCCTGGTCGCCTTAAAAAATCTCTAAGGTCTCAGTATGAGGATAAATTTAATAGAATAACTACTCGTTATAGTCTGAATCATCATCATGCAGAATAATTTTATTGATAAACAAATTTGTCTAGCATATGCATGAAGACTCTCTCTCTCTCGAAATGTATTATCGCTTATATAACTGTCAAAAGATCAAAAGTTCTATTGAGATTCTGGCACATACGCCGAGGGTTGGGGAGGAGGCACTAACGCCTCTGTACAGGTTGCTTTCTACCAACTGAACTACCGGGTCACCCCGGCAATTTCTAACTTTTCAACGATTAAACTGTAGTTGAAGCTGATTTGTAAACACTGTGTTGATATTCACACGATTTTGTACCCTTGAATAATTTATTCATGTCATTCCCTCGTGCCCAATCAGAACGACCAGTTATAGTATACGATCCTCCTAAATGTTCCCTTAAATCGGGCAATTTGCTCGGATATCACGGGATCACAATCAATGAGGGAGCGGATGTGGACAATCTGTTCGGAGAACATATTAGTTGGCCGTATAGCTACAAACGTCACAGGGGTACGTACCGATGTACCATATGGCTTCCGGAAAGTCAAGTATATGTGGATCATGAATCTATCAGAGATTCCGGTGAGCGATTGTGCAGTTCCCAAATCTTCTTCTATTCACCATTTTGACATGAAACGCTTGACTGAAAAATTCGAAGTGAATTCGAGAGTTGAACAGCGAATTAGAGAAAAAAAGGAACTAATAATGGCACTTACGTATCAACTCTGAAAACTGGTTTCCAAATTGATCGCATCAGTCAGCTGATCGGAGGTGTTCCGTTCACCGTTCTGTGACAGACAGGCTGATACGGTTCAAGCAACTAGCAATTATGTCAACATATGGACGTGCATACGAACACGTCCTGCATCACACAATTCGATCACCGACTTACACACTTCTCTCCAGTCATGGTGTCCTTTAGATCCGGATTGTCAGTTCTGGTTACCGCTAAATCGCTGTGGTCATGGCAACCACAGAAAGGCTTGATGTAGTAGTATCGCTTCATAAGTCACTAAACATTGGATCTGGGACAAAAATTTAGTTACTCTTGAGAGGTTTTACTTCAGGGGGGGGGCGAAGAGGAGGTGGAATAGGTAGGGATGTGGTAGTTTAACTCATTGCATATGAGGACCAATTAGTTTATCACCAATTATGAGCCAACTATCCTTGTTCTTTAGAGTACTGCTAGTCGTATAGAGAGTTGTCTTCGGTGCTTCAAAACAGATTGACCGAGTCACGAAATGTTGTTGACGGGATAATCAATTAGTATCAAGGGGAAAATGTTTCATCATCAATGTCTCGTGTAGAGATATCATACCACTTGTTACGTGTCGATGTTATCGCCATTGTCATGCGAAATATGAGGTGAAATGATTGAGCATATGTGTAGGTTCACATTACACGGTCTTGTACAAATGACCGGGTTAGATCTACTACTCGAACGTCATCAACATCAAACCGTATGACTGACCCACGGAGAGTTAAGCACGAAAACGGGAATACGGTCTGAATAAAGTAGCGTCATAAATGATTTCGCGCAAGATACTTGTGTTTCGAAAGCACTGCAGTGGAAAGAGTGAGGCTGTTGACATGTTTGAGCACAGATTATCATGAGACCGGAAGTTGGATTCATCCGGACCACATAGTTGTGTGTTCACTCATTCGATCATCTATGGTGGTCATCCAGACATCGCTGGAAGGCTTGTCAGCACCGGTGAGGTCAACGCGACAGCTGGAAATGATGCGAGACCATCTTGAAATGCTACTTGGACAACTTGAAATGACACTCGGACAACTTAAAATAATGGCCAGACAATTTGAAATGATTCCTGGACATCTGAAAATGATAATCGGACATCCTGATATGATAGTGGGACAGTTTGAATTGTTCAAATTGTTGTTGTTTTGGCAGATTTGAAAAGATCGCTGCTATCGGTGTGGCCTCGTAGCTCAGCTAGCGGAGCATGCGCGTACAAACGTAGGCAGCGTCCATACGTAGGTTCCAATCCCACCGAGGCTACTGAACTTTTCACAATCTCGACATACAACTTGAATTGCAAAAGGTATAGATGGTTCGTGGCATGGTGTATTAGTGTGGGTGCGGGTGGGCCCGGGGACCCTAGGTGGTTTGGGGCACCTCAAAGTGGAGGTGTGTGCAAACGAATTCCAACCGCTTCTATTGACTGCTTCTATCTGACAGCGAACCCGCCAAGATAATCGGCTAAAAGTGGGCCACGGAAAAATCTTATTTTTAACAATGTTACATTATTTTGAAGTGTTTTTTCTATCACATCATTTGTTGAATATAGGGATCAGGTGTTTAGTTGCTCTCTCATGCAAGATGCTTCTGTCAAGTAATAAGAATGATTAGTTCAAAAGTGGTATAGATAATGTTTTGTTCGTTCTAGTGATAAACAATAACCAGAAGACCCTAATGATGCGAGACTGGATCTTAACACTCGGATAATCAAATATCCATTTTGTTCTCTTCCCACTTGCTTAACATTTCATGTAAGCTTCTAAGTTGCCAGATTTGTGTCTACTCGAAGAATGGTTCAGCGGTATTCAGCCTACAGGCACTAAGATTGCTTAGCCTCTCTTTCACCAGTCGTTTTGATCGCTTTCGCTATGCAACACCTTTGTTATCGCCGATACCCACAGAAGGCGATCGATGCATTCGTTAGGATCGAGGAAAGTTGGCACCACTACAGTGGTTATCGGTCACGACCGCAGTGATTACTTATGACCATTTATTGATCCAACTACATTTACTTGACCCAGTTTGGGCGCGAAAACTGGCAAGCGCATATATGTATGAACGACGTTCTGATTATCCGGAGACTGAATGGAAGTACTCTTTAGTTGTGTGTTTTCACTCGTAATCAATAATGTTTAATTTGTTTTCTAACCTCTTGGTTATTTTCATGATTTCTGTACGCTGCTGTTAATCACAATTCACAAGCAAAGCTTAAATGAGCCTTCGAAATTTTCTATCGAGCATCACCTCATCCATGCAATTTGTTGCTTTTCTACGACCTAGTTTTACGCGGAGGTGATCAGCATTCGTTTGTTCATACCTAACCCTGGTAAACAAAAGATTCATGCCATTCAACTGCCCTGATCGAAGATTTACCGTAGGGATGAATTATCACAACCTGAATATAGTATTGTGGTGACTTAGTGGTTTGAAGCACATCGCACGACTCACTCACATTACTCTTCGTTGTAACCAATCATTGTAACCCTTAAGTGAGTGAACATCTATCCCCTTTCAATAAGTCACTTCGTTAAATGACCTGTACAGGTTAGAAAATGAATCAATGAACAAAATTGTTCGCCTCTGAACGTGTCTTCTCACGTATTTATGATGTTCAGGATACGTGTTCCTCTTCAATCACCGTATCTTTGTTCGGAATTGAAAACACTATTCGGGACACACTAATCCGAACTCACCCAGTCACGATGGTGACAACTCATTAGCAAATACTGAAACCGAATGGATTTTAATTATTATTTTCTAAACTGATTATGTTACCAAAATTTTTTTGGATAGATACCTAACACATTAGAACTGAGAGAAGACAACTACTACGAGATGGTAACATTTTTTAGGGCAGTGTGTACCAGTTACTGTTCATGTGGCACACCCAGACTAAAGTGCAATAAATTCGACGCATTTAGTTTCTGATTTGAAGCAGCACATCAGAACAACTGTCTGGTGCACTGATCAATGATCAATGACAAACTCCGACATTGCTTACCTGATGTTCCCACTAGGTACGAGCAATGATTAGAAGTTTCAGTTTCAGTTTCAGTTTGAACAACCATTAACCATGAAATTTCGTGCGCCGGTTTTGGTTGCTGTCTTTTGACTGCCCATTGGGATGAAGAATAGAAGAAAGAAAAGTTGAAAGTGGATTCGAAAGGAAAATGGAGAAGTTCAGTGGACTAAGGTTGGGAAATGATTAGAAGACATCGGTAATAGGACACAGAAACTCGATTAGTGTACTCAGCGCGGAAGGATTAGGTGCTGGCAAACGCAGAGCAAAATACTGTGAACCGTGGTAAGGTACACCATACCAGTTAGGAAAAGTCGGATGTTATAGCGTCACCACTGGAGTCGCAAGTTAAAAGAACCTCATCTGGCTTTTGTTATTCATGATATGATCGCTTCCTCAACTCCACCTTCAGATTTTCCTAAGGGACTCGAAGCTCTCGACGAGAGGTGAGTCTAGGCACACGCGCCTAGTAGCCTTGTACGAGCAGTTTGCATTGGGATGATGCAAAGCATACATCTGGCTCCGAGAAACCACCAAAACCAACAAGCGCTTGACCGCAAAGCGGTTCAAAGCAATTTCGACTGTTTGCTTATTGTCACTCATCAAGGAGGAGGAGAAAAAACTGTTTGCGCTTGCCAGTTTTCGCGCCCAAACTGGGTCAAGTAAATGTAGTTGGATCAATAAATG